CTCTCTCTCACACACACACACACACACACACACACACACACACACACACACACACACACACACAGATACACACACACACAAACGCACAAACACACACAGTCATGAAGAATACCCTGGTACCCGAGGTTCTCTTTTGAGTCTGAAGAATCTAGCTTTGAGTCTGTAGGTCTTTTTGAGTCTATGCATTTCAGTTCTGCGTCAGTTCGAAGTCTGTTTGAGTTTGTTACGTGAGTTATTTAGTCTGTTTAAGCCTGCTATGTGAATCTGTTTCAATCTCTTTTTAATCTGTGTTAGTCCACAGGTCCATTTGAGCCTGTCAGATTCTGTTTTCAACCTGTTTTTAATGTGTACGAGTTTGTTTCGAGTGTGTTTTGAGTGTGTTCTGAGTTTGTTTGAGTCTGTGATATTCGTAGTTCGTTCTCACTTTGTTTGAGTCTTTTTTTAAGTGTGTCGGTCTGTTTGAGTCGGTGCATTTCGGTTCTGTGTAAGTTTGAAGTCCGTGTGGGTCTCTTAAGTGACCTTTTGAGTCTGTTTGAGCCTGTTATGAGTCTGTGTGAGACTGCTTCAGTCTCCTTTTAATCTATTTTAGTCTACAGGTCCATTTGAGGCTGTCTGATTCTGTTTTCATCCTACTCTGAATCTGTTTGACTGTGTTTTGTGTCTGTTTTTAGTGTGTTCTGAGTTTGTTCGGGTCTCTGTAATTCCTAGAATGTTCTGAGTTTGTTTCCATCTGTTCCAAGTGTGTAGGCCTGTTTGAGTCTGTGCAATTCTGTCCTCAGTCACTTTTAAGAGTGTTTGGGTCTCTGTTAGGGGGGAGTGTTTGAGTCAGTTTCAGCCAGTTTTGAGTCTGTGTGAAACTGTTCGAGTCTGTCTTGAGTCTGTTCAGTGTACAGGTCCATTTGAGCATGGTGTGATTCTGTTTTCAACCTCTTTCAAATGTGTCTGAGTCTGTTGTGAGTCTGTTTTTAGTGTGTTTTGAGTCTTTCTGAGTCTGTCGGATTCGTAGTCTGTTCTGAGTTTGTTTCTGAATCAGTGTATTTGCAGTCTGTAGGTCTGTTTGAGTCTCTGCAATTCTGTCCTCAGTCGGTTTGAAGTCTGTTTGAGTCAGTTTGAGCCTCGATTGAGGCAGTGTGAATCTGTTTGAGTCAGTTTTGAGTCTGTTCTGTGTAAATGGTTCCACTTGAGGCTGTCTGATTCTGTTTTCAACCTGTTTTGAATGTTCCGGTGTTTGTTTTTAGTCTGTTCTGACTTTGGTTGAGTCTGTCTGATTCCATTCTATTCTGGGTTTGTTTCAGTCTTTCTTGAACCTGTCAGTCTGTTTGAGTCTGTGCAATTCTGTTCAATGTCAGTTTGAAGTATGTTTGTGAATGTTCCCGGACAGTTTGTGTAAGTTTGGGCCTGTTTTGAGTCCCTTTTCAGAATGTTTTAGTCGTCAGGTCCATTTGAGTTTGTATAAGCACTTCGAGCGATCTTCTCCGTCTTCTTTCGTGCGGCCATTGCCCGCACAGCCCGCACTGTGGGCACTAAGCTAGCTTGACATTTAAGCTATCGGCCGTGGACCCCTTTCAGAGGCCACCCTCCGCCCATTTATTTTATCTACGGTGCGGGATCCTCCAAAGTTTTAGGAGAGAGGCTCAATCGGGTTCTCAACTTGGCTGCGGCCATGTACTGGCGCTTTAAGGCCGAAGGATGATTCAGCCATTGTCCTGCTCTCAAGGTCCAAGTGTCGATTCTCTGTCCTCATGCGGCATCGGAATGGAGACACCCTTTCTTTGTTTTGTTTTTTTTTTCTTAAAGAGGAATTTTGGAGTTTTGTAAATTTCTACTGCGAGAATACTTCGGTTTAATTTGACCGCCTTTAGTAGAACAGCAATTAGCAATTCAGCATCATGTGAAAAATGATTAAAAAAAAAAACAAGCAAGTATGGGGTGCCGGAAAGAAGAAGGGGGAGAGGAGCACATGGAACATCTTGCTGAGTGCAGGGTAGGCAGGACTTTCAGAACAGTATTGGATGCAGCCAAGCAATGCATGGGGGAATTCGAAAGGAATACAGGGCCTCTTCCTCAGAAAGTGATGAGATGCATACCGCTCTCTGCGGGCGGGTGCATGCACTCGTACCTTTTTCGCTTCGACAGTGGTGTGGCGAGCTCTCTGCGGGCGGGTGCATGCAGTTGTACCTTTTTCGCTTCGACAGTGGTGTGGCGAGGCCTTAGAGGCTCGTGTGTGCTCTAGTAACCTTTGCAGCGGTCCGAAGGTGGAGATGTTGATGCCAAAAGAGCTTGGCAGATGTGTGAGTTTTACTGTGTTAGCCCTACCCGTCATCCAGCAACCTTCACTGATTAGCTTGGCTTGTGTGGAGAGGGAAGGGCTCAATCCACTGCTTGGCCAGTTACTTCGTGGCCTCTAGTGACATAATCGCTGTGAAGCGTTCATCTTTCCACCCACCCCAGGGTGAGGTGGTTTTCGGCTCCATTCTTTTCTTGGCAAGGAAGTGGAGCTGACGAGCAGAATAAGGGATTTGTTGGGTTACTCTGGCCGGTTGGTCAGTTTGTCTAGACCGTCTAGTTGGTCTAATCAGTCAGGTCAGTTGGTCAGCCAGTTGGGTTGGTGCGATAGGTTTGTTCGATTGGTTGGTCCGGCCAGGTCGGTCTTGCTGGCCTGGTTGGTTGGGTGGTGGCCAGCTTGTCTAGACCGTCTAGTTGGTCTAATTGGTCGGGCCAGCTAGTTGGTCAGCCAGTCGGGTTGGTGCGATAGATTTGTCCGATTCATTGGTCTGGCTGGGTCTGTCTTTCCGGTCCGGTTGGGGTGGGTGGTCGGTTGGTCGGTTGGTCGGTTGGTTGGTTTCCATCTTCGGACCTGACCATTGGGACCCTCAACCATCCTATGGCCATTGGTGGATGCTAGGGTCGTTGGAAATTGGCTGCAGTCCTTTGTAGTGAAGGAGGCACGTTTTTCTAACCCTGCAACAAACACGTGTTGTCACAGGCTTTGCCATATGCTCTATTAGAACTCATACGAGTCCTTGAAATCCATGGGCAAGTGCACCTTTCTCAGCGGGTGTGAAAGAAGGGCCAGTGACAAACGAGCCTGTAGTCGGTGACAGATGAGACTACAGTCGCTGCCAGACAAGCATATGGTCAGTGACAGACGAGCCTATAGGTGGTGACAGACGGGCCTATAGTCGGTGACAGACGAGCGAATAGTCGGTGACAGACGAACCAATAGTCACTACCGATTCTGGGTTGATCATTTCTCTGACATATAGGTGGAAAAAGGGCTGCTTCTTTTTTTTTTTCTTCTTTTTTTTTAGGCGTGGACATATGCTGTAGGGAATCTGACCAGACTAGCTGTTTCTCTGATGGTGTTTTGGACCAGGTTTTCCGTACGTCTCTTCGTGGAGTTAAGTTGGGAGGAGGGGAGACGAGCAAAAATGGCAAGCAGACGAGGTTCTTTGGCTGTTACACCAGTGCACTATTGATTTCTATGGTGGCCAAACAGATAGAAAAGCGAGAGCGCCCTGTCCTGCCAACGAGTACGAATAGGGGCGTGGAGGCCCCTGATCAACAGCACTTGGTGATCCTCAGAAGGCTTAGTGAGGAGGAGAAGGACGCAGAAGAGGCGGCGGCGGCGGCGGCGGTGGTGGTGGTGGTGGTGGTCAGATATGGAAGGAGGTAAGTGGCCACCTCCTCCTCCCAGCACTGTTTTTGCTGGGAGGCATCAACAGCGGCCGGGGCATTGGGGTGTTGAGTGGCAGGAGCAGATTGAGGAGGCACAGCCAGTGAGGATGGCTGCGGGCAGCCCATCGTCGAGAGGTGAAGTCTCTGGAGAACAAGTGCAGGCGTGGCATGGTGATTATGCTCAGGGAAGCATGGTAAGCAGGACAAGACAGCCGAATGCGGGTGAAGTGATTGTGGCGGCGGAGGAGGATAGCGAGGAGACGAGAGAGGCCGAAAATAGGGAGCTGGACGAGTGTAATGGTGGAGAGCACATCAGCAGAGAAGAGGAGGGCAATGCCCATGAGCAGGAGGACGAAGACGATGAAGGCGATGTGGAGACTGCGGTCACAGGAGTCGATAACTTGGCTCCTGGTTGGTTAGGACACTACCACTCTATGATGGGTCAGAGTGCTGAGCAAGGAGGAGGAAGGGTCCAAGAAAGTAGAGGCTTGTATGAAGCTTGTGCAGAGGACAATGGTGGTCGTAACAATGTTGACGAGGAGGATGAGGAGGACGAGGAGGAGGAGGAGGAGGAGGAAGACGACGAGGAGGATGACGAAGACGATGAAGAGCATGAGAAGAGAACGGCTGCTGGCCAAGAGTTCATCGACAGGCAGATGGCGGGCGAGTGTGGCGAGAACCCATTGCAGGAAAATAGGTCCAATCCCAACAGGAGCTGGAGTCAGCTGCTGGAAGGGTCCATGGGGAGCATGAATGAGAAAGGGGGTGAAGAAGGAGAAGGAGGTGGTGTGCCTCGGAAGGTTGACCGGATTGAAGAGCGTGAGGAAGCAAGGGAGGAGGTTATGAAAGGCATGGAAGACAACGAGCTAACGGACACAGATGTGAGGGAGCAGCAGCTAGAGGCAGAGAAGGCTCCTCTGGTTGATGGCACGATGGCAGAGCGTGTTGATTACGGAAAGGAAGGAGTGACAGATATGGCAGAAGCTGGGACAGGGAGGCTAGACGTTGAGGCATCGGATAAGGGTATCACGGATGGAAGTGGTTCCAGAGAGCATGATGGAGAAGAGAGGGAGGAAGGAGACGGACAAGCAGCAACAAACGGGAGCAGTGGAGGAGCAGATGTCGAAGCAAGGCAGGCAGGTGGGCGAAGGAAGAGGAAATCAAATGGAAACATGGATGTGTCGGACGAAGGTGCGACGGTGACGAGGCGAGTGAAGAAGAAGGGGTCTGGGTGCTGGACTAAAGTGGGCAAACGGGGAGCAAAACGAGGGGGAGCTGGCAAGGGTGGAGGGTCTGTTAGTAATCAGCGGCTGAGCCACGGACGGAGCAGCATGGACAGGCCTGACATCTCGAATATGGTGGCGTTAAACCCAGCTCCCAATTTGATGGATCCCGACGAGCGGCCGGGGGAGCCCATCGTGCTGTCAAAAACACATAAGGCCAGTCAAATTCAAATAGGACAAGACGGTCTGAGCGCAACGAGCTGGAAAGGCTATAGGATGGTGAGGGCTACTCGAGGAGTTGTTGAGGGAGTGTGGTACTTCGAGATCAAGGTGGACCATCTGGGGGAGACGGGCCACACACGACTTGGATGGTGCAATCAGAAGGGAGATGTTCAAGCGCCCGTCGGGTATGACCAGAATGGGTATTCGTATCGCGATCTGGAAGGAGTAAAGGTGCATGAAGGGTACCGATTGCCGTATGGCGAGCCATACGGTGAGGGCGATGTGATCGGGTGTCTGATAAATCTGCCGGATGGTGCTCGATATGCCCCCAAGCCCAGCGAGTTCATCCAGAGAAAGGGGGCTTATTACTTACAACAGGAGGCCGGTGACGAGCCGCTTCAGACTGTGCCAGGTTTGGTGCTTTGGCTGTCCCTATTACTCTTGCTCGTTCTGAGTGCTTCCTCCCCCACCCCCCTCATAAAGGTTGGCTAGGCTACCAGGGTGGCCCGGGACCACTTGCCTGGCTGCACCCGCTCGCTGAAATAAAAAAAAAAACAAAAAAAAAACGATGTGGTAAAAACACAAAAACAGACAATTTGGTAAAGAATTTTGATGTCGAGTCTTGGCAAGTGTTGTTCAGTTTTTAGTGTTTCTTTTTTTTTTTTTTTTTTTTTTTTTGTTGTTGTTGTCAACCAGTACCTAGGCTTCTAACCCCGAGCGACGGATGGCAGGGACAAGGATGCAGGGAACCCACACTCCTGCCAAGACCGGCCAAGGGGGCAAGCCAACTATCTCTGCTGGTAAACACCAAGCCTGCCGCAGGCGGCCATGGGGGACAGAACCCACGGCCTCCTGAATACCACTCGCATGCTCAACCAACTGAGCTAGACGGCTGACCCCAAACATAGTTCAGTTTATTTTTCTGCATAGCATAGTTTTTTTTTTTTTTTGGGGCGGGGACCTTGCCTGGCCACGAATGTGACCCCCGTGGCCCCATTGGTAGCCCAGAAGGGGAGTAGCTTGTATGCATTCATGATCAAGCTGCATTATGTCCGCACTGTCCGTGTTAATTCGTTCATATGGCTCCATCTGGATTCGAACTCAGGTCCATATTTCAACAGTTAATGGGTGTACCAACTGAGCTTGGCTCAGTTGGTTCTCTGAGTGTATTTTCAAGCTTGGATGTTCATGGGAATGGTATGTTATAACCTAGCTCTCTGGTTCGCACCGTCAGATGCTTTCGTTTCCGTTGCTGTTAATTGCAGCCAATGAACAGCAGAAATTCCAGCATAGCATGATGCGCTTTTGGCTGCAACACATCTTTCTTCGCCTGCAACGGAACCAAGTGTGATGATTGGGCCGTGATGGAAGCAAATATGACCAGGTTGTCGCTGCACTGAAGCCAACTTTTGAAGAGCCCATAATCAAGTCACTGTTACGATCCTGGTCACTTCCCGAGTGCAAATTCACAATGAAAGACAATGCCACCCAATTGCGAAAGAAATGAAAGCACTTGCAAAGAGATAAAGACCAGAGGAGAGGTAAAGAAGAAGAAGAAAAAGAAGAAGAAGAAGAAGAAGAAGAACACCAGCAAGACCAATGACAATTCCCCCCTTCTCTCTCCACCTTCCTCCTTCCTCCTTCTCTTCACCAATCTTATTCTTCTCTCAATAATAATAATAACAATGAATGGATGAACCAGAATCAATGTCCGAAGTTCCCCCTTACTGCTGACTCAACTCACAACAACAACAACAACAACAACAACAACAAGTCCACCATGGCTATGTCTTCCCTCCTTCAACCTCCTCTCTCATGCATAGGCCATGGCGGACTACTGGGTGGCAGCTATGGTGCTGCCCTGATGTCCAGAAGACAATCCAAAGCAGCTATGCCGCTGCTTGACTTGGTCCGCTATGCCTGACTCTGCCTCGAGCTTCCCTGGTGCAGCGCTACCCCAACTGGGGGCCTTCCAGATGCAGCGCCCAACAAGGTGATGAAGACGGTGTCCACCATAGCCAGGTAAGTCCCCTACCACTCTCCTACCATGCCCCCTTCTTCCTCCTCCTCAAGCTGGGGTGCTCGCCATAGCCAGGCTGAGCCCCAGCGGACCTTCACCTCCAAGCCGCGCTGCTTCAGTCCAGCGCTGCGCTCCAGCAGCATGTCGCCAATCCTTGCATACCGCAAATGAGGAAGAGCTCTCTGCTCTTCCTGAAGATATAGCGGCCTACCGGCCTCCTGGGCGGTGACTTCCTAGGCCAAGCGGCCTCCCAGCAACCGGTACCTCCTCCTTTTTGGAGGGAAACATCATTGCAGGCTCTGTTATTGTCCGCACAGGCCCTAGACCCGGGCTACTTGGACTGGTACCGGCCTACCTCTAACCTACCGCTACTGGGCCTCTAAAAATGCCAGCTTTTTGTCTTCTTCTGCTCGGCCTACCTGCTACTTGAGTGTTTTTCCCCAGCTGCTCTAAGTGTCGTGGGCCCACTCCCCGCTACCGGCGTGTTTACCCCCCCTGCAACCCTTCCGAGTCACGGCCACAGGTAAGTACCGGCCCGGTGGGCCTTGCAACCAGCAAGTACCCTTGCGGGTCACACACACATACCCAACCAGCAAGCACTCAGACAGGCATGCAAACCAACAGGCACACACACACACACACACACAACCGGCAAGCACTCAGACAGGCACGCATACACACAGACTTGGGACCACAGCAGAATGCGGGAATCACAGCAAGGCATTCATTCCATTGGCAAATCCCAGAAATCAGCAGTGTTCTCAGTCTGTGTTTTTGGCGGTACATTACATTACTCCCCTCTCGAGAGCGAGGTCCCTTCGAGCGAGTAACTCAGTCAAAGTCGGTACAGAACGCATCATAGGAGTACATCAGAAAAAGAGACTTGGTCAATCCATGAGGAGTCGTTGTTGCTACAAACTTAGCGGTCTGTCCCTCGGTGATCTGTCTTTCGTAAGCGTTCACAACACGGGGAGCACTTTTTAGCAGCTCTTTCCGGTCGATCCAGAAGAATTCAGTCAACGGGTGATAGAGGAAGTGAACCTTATACTGTCTGTTCCTCCCTTTGCCCTCGTGAGATACGATTCTGTCTATCTCATGGCCGCCGTCGATAGGGCGAGGTATCATTGGGTCCCGGAACGGAAAGGTCTCATCATCAATGTGTGGGAATAGTTTGGACGCATGAAAGACCGGATACGTGCGCAGATGAGGAGGCACGTCAATCACAAATGAAGGGCCAAAGTCATCCCCGACTACCTTCAGAATCTGCCAAGGGCCGTAGTTCAGTGGAAGAAGCTTATGTGATATGCCCTGTTCGTCAGAAAACTCAGACATTTTGACCCAAACATAATCCCTTACTTTGAATTTTTCTTCTTTGCGCAGCTTATTGGCATGCTTGATCATGGCATGCTGGCGCTTGTTCATAGCTGCTGTGGCAGCTTTGAGCAAGCGTGCGTACTTGGCATTGTAGCCAGGCATGCCGGGCATCAGACCAGGTGACCGTTCGGGGAACAGATAGGAGAGGGGATTACGCATCGGCCATCCATACTGCAATTGGTTTGGTGTCACACCAGTCGCAGAGTGAATGGAGTTGTTGTACAGCCCCATCACTTTGTGCAATTCCTTGTCCCACGTGTTCTGATCTGGAACAATTAGTGTGCGAAGCAATTGGATGACAGTCTGGTTGATCTCCTCAGCCAATCCGTTGGCTTCGGGGTGTCGACCAGAAGTCCTGTTCAGTTTGATGTCGTAGATCTGAGATGTGAAGTCTTTCCAATCTTTGCTGATGAATCTGGTGTCCCGATCACTCACAATAGTTTTCGGGACGTCGGACTGCAAAATGTACTGCTGATGGAATTATTTTTGATGAAATTCTTTTATGACAAGTTCAGTCGGGGCGTGAGGAGGGAGAGGAATCAAGTTCAGAAATTTGGAGAAGCGGTCCACAATGACCATGACTTGTGAATTCCTAACCTCACTCACCTTTCCCATGTCCGTGAAGTCGATGGAAATCGATTCACCGGGTCCATCAAGAATGGGGAGAGGTCTCAGTAGGCCATAAGGCTTATGCCTGTGGACCTTGATTCTTTGACATACTTGACATTCAACAATGAATTTATGAGCAGATCCTTTCATTCCTGGCCAATCAAATTGCTGCAGAAGACTTCCATAAGTCTTCTCAAAGCCAAAATGTCCACTCCGACCATGTGCCAAATCCAAGAAATGAGTTCGGAGAGGCGCATGGTTGGGTACACACAAACGGTCAAACTTTCCATACCGGCGGAATACAAGACCCTCGCATTCATGAAAATCAGGCTGACTGTTAGGGTCAACCTTCAGCTGCTCAAGGATGGGACTGAGGTCCGGATCCTTGGCGGTGTGTTCAACCGGATCCTCCTTCAGTTTCCTTCGGAGGTCGTATGAACCCACGAGGCAAGTCAAGAATTCAGGATGGCGGGACAATGCATTAGCAACCCGGTTATAACAGCCTTTCTTATGTTTCAACTCAAAGCTATAGACATCAATGTCATGCAACCAGCGGGTCAATGTAGGAGAGAGTTCGGATTGTGTCTGAATCCTGTAAGGTCTGATGATCAGAGTAGACCTTGAAGTGGCGACCCAAGAGGTAGTGTTTCCAATGTGCGAGAGCTTCGCGCAGGGCTTAAAGCTCACGCATATATGTGGAACTAGCTACCTTATGGCTGGACATGCGTTTGCTGTAGTACTCGAGCGGACGCAGGCCATCACCATCATCTTGCTGCAGCACAGCACCAATCCCGAACTGGCTCGCATCCGTAGTGACTACGAAAGTGAGGTTGGGGTCGGCAATGCGAAGCACAGGATGACTCACCAATGCCTCTTTCAAGGCTTGGAACGCAGTCTCACACTTCTCACACCATGCATAGGCAACATTCTTGCTGGTTAGTCTTGAGAGAGGATGAGCAATGACAGAGAATTTGGGTACAAACTTCCGGTAATATGAGGCCAGACCAAGGAAAGAACGCAGTTTGCGTACGTTTGCCGGTTGAGGCCAATTTCGGATGACCTCAACCTTGGTTGCTTCCGGCTCATGTACAGCCCATCGCGTGTCTTGAATGCAGTCTTGTGCTGGTCACTCGGATCAACTTCAATCTGGTGGTAACCAGATTTGAGGTCGATCTTGGAGAAGACCTTGCACCCACCTGCCGCATCTAGTAGATCATCAATGCGAGGCAAAGGATACGCATTCTTTCGGGTGATTCGATTCAGGCCATGATAATCAATACACATCCGGAGTTTGCCTCCTTTCTTTGGTACAAAAAAAACAGGTGCACCAAACTCAGACTCGCTAGGCCTAATCCATCCACGATCAATCATGTCATCGATTTGTCTCCGCAGCTCCTCCAACTCGCCTT